CTCTATTATAGTACAGGGTACCTTTTGCTGCTGTTTGTTGTTCAATAATTTGTAGAACTGTTTTTATGAAACAAATTTTTACCACTTACTGTTGTTTAGTTAATGGTTTTTGAATTTAAATTTTCTCAGTTATCTGCCAAATTTTTGTTCCTTTATTTAGGCATTTATCGTTTTTTTTCTTTTGCCTTTACAATGCTTTAGTCGGTTTGCGTAATATCAAAGAATCTTGCTCAAAAAATGATGTTTAAAATAACAAAAACAGAAGCATTGATTAAATCAAATAGATTTTTATGAACTTTTTTTACTGACATTAATAAGCGTAATTAATAATATTTGCTAAAAATAAATAAATCTAGTTTTTTTTTTTGGCTTTTTTTGGCTTTTTTTTCGCAGTAAATGTCAAAATTGAGTTGGGTTAACCATATTAATGGCTTTTTTTTCTTAGTTTGTTCAAAAAAAAAAGACAGATTTTTTTTAGCTTCGCTCGCCTCCACCATTGACAATCTCAATTCCGGCCATTAAAGCAAACCATCATCGGCATGCATTACCGGAACGTTGGACCGAAATTAAGGAGACCGACGTTGATGACGTTCCATCGACACCAATTTTTTCGGATTCATCAGCAACACCACCACCGCGACAGCAACAAAAACAAACATCGCCTTCATCGGCACTTGTAGTCTTAAGAAATGTTAGTTACCAATCTTTTTGTATTCAGTAACAATCAATATTCTCCAACAGTTTTAACAAATTTATCAAGCTAAAAAGATTAGAGTAGGCGTGTTAAATATAAATTATATTACAGATATCTTATTATCACATAGGCACTTCTGTTTTGAAAGCTTAATGCGTTATTTAGCGGCAGCAATTTTTTGTCATTATCTTAATCAAAATAAGAGAGCTATTGACTCAGTTTATTCAATATAACAGAAACAGTAACAACTTCAAAAGTGATTTCTTTAAACTTTAAACTTGATACAGCAAAAAAAATTCTTAGAAAGTGTTGGTAAAGTAGGTAAAAGTTCTAATATACGGAAAAAAAACAGTAAGCAGTTAGAGATTGAAAAAAAAACTATCATTAAAACTATCTAGTAGTTTTGTTAATGCTTCTTATAACACTTCTGAATGCACTGAAAATCTTTGACTGGCAGTAAATAAAGCAGCACGTGCTCTTTTTTCTTTTAAATTCTATTTCTTTTTATATTAGAAAAAAAAAAAGAAAATTAGATAGCTTATAAAAGTTAGAAAGTTTTTGAATGACTACGGAGGCAGATACAAATGATATACCTACCGGATGATTTGTTTCTGTATCAATGTGTTAAAGCCTAATCGTTGACCGGTTACTGCTTCGGTTTTCCAGACCCTCATTTTCAGAACAACATTCCAATTAGAACAACATTCCAATTTTCAATTTATTTTCGTTTCTATTCCTTCTCTTTTTTTTCCACTTTTTTTTTCTTTTGTCTTTCAAAATTGTTTTTTTTTTTCATTTATTCTGCAAACAAAAATCAAATATGAGAAAAAAATAGAAGCAATTTTAAATTGGCTAAGGCTAGTTATTTGATTAGTAATTGTCGCTGTTTGTTTGACAATTTATTGATACTGTCATTTCACCAGTTTTATTCACACAATTTTTATCTGTCATGCTTTATTGCTCTACCTGTAGTAAATAAAGCAGCATTCTTAAAGTGGTCGTAAATCAGCGTCAGTTTGAGGAGAATTATTGCTCCATTTAAGCTAACATTAGTTTTTTGTTTGATCATTAATCTCAATAACTATTACCTTTTTCTGCTGCGACGCCTTATCACATTGCTTCTGATTCTTTAGTTGACTGTTTCTTACTTTGCTGTAATATCTAAAAAAATTTACCAAGCAAAATACTGCTTCTGTTTTTTTTTTTTGTACACTTTTTGTTGAAAAATTTAGATAAATTTAGTTTATTATATACTTACGTATACATCATTTAACACCATTACGGTATTCAGTATCTCTTTTTCTCTGACGATGACGTATATCACTTGAAAAACAAAATACGATTTCGTTTACAGCATCCTGCAGGATTGGGTGGCAGTTGTCGTCGTGCTCTTAGCGGAAGCACATTTGAAGAGCTAAAAGAAAAGAACCTTGAATCCAAGCAGGAATCTAAAAGATTGTTTGTCCGGAATCATTTGTCTTCAGCGTTTCAACCAAAACGTTCATCATCGCCAATGTCTTCAGAAAAAAGTATGTACTGTTGTATTGTCATTTGCAACACAAATAAGCAAATAAGGTTTAGAAAAAACAAAAACGACTCACTCAGTTTATTCAGACACAATTTTCAAATTTCAAGAAA